AGAATGGCTAAAACCAACTAACACAAGCTTCAATGCATTTGTTACTCACCCACACATTAATAATAAACCTTGTATGACATGACACAGTGTTTTTCATGCCACCTCAAAGCACTTCAGGATTTTGAAAAGTTGATTGTAATTGTTAATTATTATAGGTACCTGAGGGTCGTGATGGAAAACAACATTCGCTTAGACACTGCCCTGAGAGACCACACTGAGAAGGGGCAAAAGGCACTCCTAAAGTGCTCCTTTATGGTTCTGAGCTCTTGGGGATGCAGTGGAGAGGCTCCCTCCAGTCCATTTGGATCAAGCAGTGAAGTGGATTTCCAGACAGCACAGGCAGCAGCTCCAGAAAGGGAGGGCTCCAGCCTACACTGACCTGTCACCGAGCATCCTGAACAGAGTCAGCTTCACAGCAGTCACATCTAGTTCTCAAAGTCCCTCACATAAGGACCTGGATTAAACAGCTGGTGCTGAGTAAGCCTGGTACACCTTATTGGACTTGGACCTCAACAACATCAAAGTGGCTAGCACATCACACACTGCCCCATAAAGGTCCTCACACCACGCTGAAGGCAGATGTCCACCAATGGATGAGGAAATTCTGGGTATTGGGGCAACAGCTGCTCAAAAGCATTTCCTGGACTGCGAATGCATGAACATGTTCATATATCCATGCCTTGGAATCCACATTGATTTGCAGAGAGATAAGCAGCTGCTGCTCAAGCTCCGTACGGCCAACTGGTGGAAGGAATGCTCAGTTATGAGCAGCAAGATGGTGGCAAAGAAAGGTAATTAGGCATTATCTCCATCTGATACATGTGAAAGTGCACGCCCGCGGATGTCACAAAGAGGGAGAATGTGCATGAGGATCAATGATAAGAGTGCTGAGAAATTCCTATGTGAATGTGCGGGGACAGCAAGAGAAGTTGTTGGAAGAGACAATGTTAATTCTGGAACAGGTAAAAGTAAACCCAGAAAAACGCAGACAAACAGAGATGTACCAAGGAGGACAGATGGCGAAGGAGTTTCAAAAGGTCAATGGTGTAAAAGTAGTGGAAGCAGCAAGGAAGACAAGGAGATACAAGGAATCCTAGTTGTAGGCAGAGAGAATACTATTTGTGAATTTGACCATGGGTGGCTCAGTGCTGTGGGCTGAGCAGAAGTTAGATCAGCAGGACTCAGAGGAAATGCTGCGGAGAGGAAGGAGGGAGCTGGTCACGGGGTGTAGAAGAGGAGCCTGATGTTATCTTTTAATACTGCAATAATTGAAAATTTAACACAATATGACTGAGGTAGGTACAGATGCTACACTTCCAACAGTTCCTTTTCACAAGCCTAGTTACTAGAAGTGTGAAATGCATCACCTTCCCACACAAACAGCATGGTTACATCTTGCAGTTACACTGCATTACCCAAACAAGCAGACTATGTTTAGATAGAGTCTCTGATTCCATATGCATGAAGTGGGAGAAAGTGTTCAGAGTTAAGCAGGGGAGTTAAACAACAAGATTACATTTGTATAGCGCCTTTCACGTCAGGAAGACGTCCCAAGGTGCTGGACAGAGTACAGCATTTCATATAAGTAATATTAATATAATGTTAATATATTATATAATATTATTAATCTTTATGCTTTTGTACTAATGCACACAGCATAAGGAATAAAACTAATGAACTAGAGGCACAAATTCAGGTAAAGGGTACTGTATGACTGTAGTTACAGAAACCTGGCTGCAACCCGAGCAGCATTGGCAACTAAATACACCAGGATATAGGATTATAGGAAGGAAAGGTAGGCAATTTCACCCACACAATAATAATCCTTGCATTTGAGATAGCGCTTTTCACGTCGGGAGGACGTCCCAAAGCGCTTCACAGAACACACTGTAAAGTGAATTGATTGTGTATTTGTGGGCGAACGCGGCAGCCAATTGCGCACAGCAATGTCCCACAAATAGTCGTAGATTGAAAATGACCAATTTATTATTGTTTTTGGTTTTGGAGGGATTATTATTAGGCTCTGTGTGGAGTAAGGAAACTTGCCCAAGGTTTCGCCCTCTGCCTGGAATTGAACTCAGGTCTCTCACTTGCAAAGCGAGTGCTCTAACCACTGAGCTACAGGACTCCACTTAAAGTCAATTCACTTTACAGTCTATTCTGTGAAGCGCTTTGAGACTTCGAGAAGACGTGAAAAGCGCTATATCAAATGCAAGGATTATTATTATTAACTATATCCAGTTTGTTACTCATGACCAAATCCAGAAATGCTTGGTCCTTGCAGGTTTTCAAACATACTGTTTTAGAAAACTATCCTATATGCATTCCAAAAACGAATGTCTCGAAGATGTGATGAGGCACTCTGTCAAACTCAAGGATTATTATTATTAATAATCCTGTGGTTAGGGATCTGCTTGGAGCCAGTGACCATAATTGAATTTAACATGGTGTTTCAAATGGAGATGGGGAGGTCATAGATTGAGGTTATAAATTTAAACAAAGCTAATTTTGAAGGCATGAAAAAGGAACTGGCGACAGTTAAATAGGATACGCTGTTAGTTGACAAAAATACAGGTGACCAAAAGAAATATTTAAATATCCAAACCAAATCAATAGCCCTAAAAGCCAATGGTGGAACTTCGGGTGTCAAACAACCATGGCGTACAAAAATAATAAACAAGCGCATCAGACAAAGGAGAGGGTATAAAACAACAACAGCTTTACATTTGTATAGAGCCTTTCACATCAGGAGGACGTCACAAAGCACTGGAAAACAATATAAAACAGCAAAAGAAAGTAGAAAGGCAGAGAACAGGGAGCAACAAAGTGACACTAAGAAAATAATAAGAGTAAAATGGGAATATGGAAAAAGCTTGTAGATAATATTAAAGGTTTCACAAATATATTAAGAGGAAAAGTGGCAAAAGAGGGCCTATTAAATACAGATGTAGGAAAGTCTATAATGGAAGGTAAGGAAATGCATCAATGTTCACTGTGGAGGAGAATTAATTACTTGTGGTACGGGGAAGGATCAAAGTTGGTAAAAGCATCCCAAGGTATAAAGAGAATTAAGTGAGGAAATTACTGACGCATAAACTAAAATTTTTCAAAGTTCACAGGATTCAGGACTTGTACCTGGGAATTGGAAAACTGCAAATATCACTTTATTATTCAAAAAGGAAGGGAAAAGGCCTGTAACTATATGCCTGTGAGTTAATTTCAGTTGTAGGAAAGCTATTGGAAAGCTTTTCAATATATACATTAATTACATATATTTATATACATATATCACCATCATGTTCTATCATAAAGGGATTTTGTCAGACACTCTGATCCACAATTATATCTACACAGAAAACATTTAATAAGGCTATTCTGGACTTTCATCTACATGTACAACAACAAAATTACATTTGTATAGCGCCTTTCAGGTCGGGAGGACGTCCCAAAGCGCTGAAATGTACTAGGAGTATTGAACCACATTGTACCTTCCTTCTCCCACTCAATGCCTTTAGTTTTACTGTGTCAGCACAAAATTCCCCACACAAGTTCAATAATTCTGCTTTCACCATTTACTTGGTATTGACCTTTATTTGCCGTCACAGAACCATTGGAATTTATAGTACAGAAGACCGATTGTGCTGGTTCTTTTAAGAGTTTTCCTTCAATCGCATTTATTTACCTGCCCTTTCCCCCTTATCGTACAGAATCTGGAGATCAGTCCCCAGCGTCAAATACCTGTGCTACACATTTACTCCAGATAACACATTTCAATCTTAAGAGGAAATACCGATACAGATCATTACAAAATAACAGTAAATTGCATTTCCCATGCACTTTGATCTCCTTGCCCATCACATCACTTTGGATAGGAGTTTGCCAATGTTTTTACTTAATGTATATTTCCTGCCTATGATCCAGAGTGTTCAGACCTTCATTTTATTATATTAGGTTGAAGGGGCAGAAAACAGGATGAAGATTCAGAGGTTTGGATGGTGTTTTCTGATTGCCTTAAGTTAGGGGTATAAGAGTTCTCTGGGATTCAGAAACCTGGTCATGTCACGTAACTCACTGTAATATAAACTGTAAATAGTCTTATGCAACATACCTCTACAAATCATTGTGATATTCAGCAGTGTGGTCCAACTGGCAACCCGGAGGCCGCATCCGGCCTGGCAGGTGATTTTATCCGGCCCGAGACCATTTCCAACATTCCAACTTCCACTCCCTCCCTCCCTGGTAAACGTGCTCCCAATCGCAGCGGCAGGAGCCAGCGGTTGGGAGGACACAGTACGGGGAGTGGAAATAACGCCGGCCGTTTCTGCAGTCTGTCAGGAAGGCAAGTGCATCTCTTACCAACCACAAACTTAGCATCTGCCGGCTCCTGCCGCTGTAGATACTAAACCGCGCAGCTGATTGGCAGAGAAACTAATTGAGAGGAGGAGGGGGGAAGAGGGGCAGAGAGAGTGATTGACAAAGAGGGGGAGAGCGATTGAGAGGGGGAAGAGAGCAGAGAGTGATTGAAACAGAGTGTGAAAGGGGTGTAGAAAGAGAGTGTGAGAGGGGGAGGGAGTGTATGTGTGTTTGCGTGTGAGAGTGTGAGTGAGAGATGGGAGAGAGAGGGGGAGATCGACAGAACAGGACAATCTGTCATGGTTCACTGTCGGGACACACGATCGGAGCTTCCCTCGGCTGTCGTGGTGGTGGTGGGGAACCAAGGCCAGACATCGCGTGACGTGCAGTTTCCTCACAGAAAGCTCCCCCTTTCTTCAGTGAAAAACTCCTCTATATGCTTCATTCCACCCTCCTCCCCACCCTACCTCTGGAACTTCCCAACCCAGCCGTTCCCTTTGCAGAGCAAATACCAGCGTGCTTCATGTCCCCCCACCCCCAACAAAATATATAGTCAATTCACTTTACAGTATATTCTGTGAAGCGCTTTGAGACGTCTCAAAGACGTGATAAGGCACTATATCAAATGCAAATATTATCAGCCCCACCATCGCCATTTTGTCCCGTTCTCTGGAGTTTCATTCCTGGAGTCCCTCCGACTGTTGTTATGTTTCTGGAAGGGAAACACAAAATATTGCTTATGCGGCCTTTCTCAAATAGGGAATCCAGCCCGTGGCAGCCTTAAGGTTGGACCACCCTGATTTACAGGATATGTAGAATCAACTGCAGTCTGAAAACATTCCCAGATACTTTTTTTGTATAAAATACTATTTGTAAAATAGATTTAACTCCCTGATATCTTAGCCTTTGGGACTTGTATCTACAGTTAACACTGTATCACTGCTAAATGCCAAGTTTTACAGTGTTCCTGTGTATCAGATAACAAGACGACGCAGATATTTTACAAGTGGTACAGGATTAGAATCAGATCACTTAACAGGAAAATATCCAGATATTTAAAAGAGGTTATCTGAACACCAAGAGCGTTGCTGAGAAGTAAACTTACAAATACGATTGGGGAAATTGTATCACGTTTTATAATTTTAACACTGTGTTCAACCGATGTACAGATGTAGAAAAGATGTTTTACCTAAAAAGTAAATATTGGTGCATCGTTTCACCTCCGAAAGAGCCGGTAATGTTGTATCCAAAACATCTCTACATATAATAACAGTGTAGAGCCACATACACTTCAGATTTCTGTCAGGAAATATTAGATCAGAACTTAATTAACATTACTGCAGACTGTTTTGTAATGACTTGAACCCATTAGAAATATTTCTATCCTAAAAACTGATAAATCCAAAAAACTCCTCTCAATCAAAACCGCTCCTGTACACTTCGAGAAAGTCTCAAAGACAGCCATTACAGGTTCCCACTCTGACCATTGCTACAACTCTGAATCTCATAGCAGCATCCACTTACAGAAAGTCAAGAATTCTACAGTGCCTACCTCCACTTCCTGCATTACAACAACAACAACTTGGATTTATATAGCGCCCTCCATGCCGGACGGCGTCTCAGAGCACTTTATAGTTTAGGATCCCGGGACCAAGCCAGGGGGAAGGGTGGGAAGATGACCAAAGGCGCGGTCAAAAAGAAACATGAAAAATATACAAGCGCAAGGTGCATTGTGCACTGTCAAGAAGCAACACTTACTGGTCACTTACTGCACAGGAAATTGCATCAACTAACCACACTGAAAGGGGACACAGTAAGATGGCCGCCTTTTCATCACAAGCACATCAGACATGGAGCAGGTCAGAGCTCGATGAGCGGAGGGAGTGTACAGATCGAGTTAGCAGGTCAGAGGTAGGGAGGAGCAAGGTCGTGGAGGGCTTTGAAGGAAAGGACAAGGATTTTGAATACTATCCTCTGGGGGATGGGGAGTCAGTGATGCCAGGCGAGGGTGCGGGTGATAGAGTCACAGAGCCTGGTGCGGGAGAGGACACAAACTGCAGAGTTCTGGATAATCTGCATTTTGTGGTGGGAAGAGTTGGAAAGGCCGACAAGCAGGGAGTTAGCATATTCGAGCCTGAATGTGAATGAGGGGAGAGATAGAGATAAAAGTGGAGGCAGGCAGTGAGTGGGTAAGTATGAGAGAAAGGAGAGAGGGACAAGACAGCGAGCAAGAATGTGAATGTTGGCAGGCCACTCAACGGACAAGGGCAATGCAAGTCTGACCTCCCCCACCTGACTATCACACACAAGCACTACCAATAGAATAATATTAATAATCCTTGCATTTGATATAGCACCTTATCACATCTTCGAGACGTCTCAAAGTGCTTCACAGAATACACTGTAAAGTGAATTAACTATATATTTTGTGGGCGAAACGCGGCCACCAATTGTGCACTGCAGTGTCCCACAAGCAGTCGTCGGACACTGGACACAATTGGAGCTGGATCCACTGGCTTGTCCCTCTCTACTTTTTTAAAAAAAAAGGGATTATTTATTACCTCTGGGAAAGCAATCCATTAGTCCACTGACAACCGGGTTCCTACTTACTGATAGGGAAACAGAGGCATGTTGAGAATGGAAACTTGCCCAACGTTTCGCTTTGCCCATGAATCGAATCCAGGTCCTTTTGCTTGCGAGGCAAGTGCTCTAACCACTGAGCTACAGGAATTCTACCAGAAAGTGCTGAAGAGGGACCAAGACCAGCCTCAAATCTCAAACTCCCAATCCCTGGGAAGACAAGATCAATTTAGTACCAGCAGTCCCAGCTGAGACGAGTAAGCTCAGCATAGATCAGGATTCAAATCAGCGAACTCCAAAATGAATGAAATCTATTAGAAACATGAAAAGTGGTCACTCTTCAGAACCAAATGGTATCCTACAGCAATTAGTGATGCAAAGATCAATTGAGTGGGAATCAATTTTAAATATCTACAGCAATAATATCTAATTCAAATTCATTTATACATCTCAATCTCTTGCAAGACAGTTAAATAATCAAATCAAGCTATATAATTGCCGTGCATTATATTGCCGTTTAGGAGAATGAAATTACACACATCATTTCAATCTCTACAATATTAAAAATTGACTGGGAAGTTACAGTTTGAGTCCAGAAAAATGCATAGTTACTGGATAAAAGCACAATGTCTCATTGTACCAAATACATTTCACACAAAAAATTTGGATCGAAAGTATGAAACCTTTCAGTACTTCTTTTTTAGCTTACTGTACTGGAAAACATTGGATCAGTGACAGTCCATCAGACCACTTTGTGTACATTTGCCCTCAGACAGCAACCTATGTAACAAAAACTAACCATCGTAGCAATATGCTATTCTTATCAGCAATGGAACTGAAACTTGAGGTTGTGCCCAGTTATTCTTAGCATTCCTATCAACCCAATAATGTACCCAACATGCAAGACAAACATGTACACACTAGCAGCTGAAGATCAAAGTCATATCACTGCTTCCTAAACTGCTTCTGTAAAAGAAAGACGTAGCACTGAAATAAAGTCAGTGGCTCAAGGATGTACATAAAACTTACTTAAACACAGCAAAAGCAACTGATGGAATAATCTGAATGGGGTATATAGAATGGTTCTTTGCTCTCTTTCTAAGTATTCTTTTACTATGAATACAACTTTGGGAAGGGAGGAGTCTCTGACTAGCTCCCTGAAAATTGCTATTGAATAATTTGTGTACTGGGATGTATTTTAATTAATGATCAAATTACAGAGTTACTTAAATATATTGTTTGCAATGAAACTCAGTACTTCAATTCAGATGTCATTCAACAGTTTCAACTAAAATTTAGGTGGATATTACACCTTATCAGGTTATATATTGTCAATAATTACAATGTGCTTTTGGATTCTTGAACAGGCAGTTAAAGCTATCAAGTTCAACTGCTGTAAAAATTAGATCCTGAAATCAACAGAAAGCAGATGCAGGACTCAATTGGCACTTGTAGTGTGACTTCTTGTTAGCTTAGTATTCTTCATCACTACTTTGCTACAGAAATGTTCTGGTTTTGTATAAATATTGAACAGATGGGAATGAGAGAGGAAAATTTAATTGTAATATTTCAATTAAAGTTTAGATACAGTATAACATTTAAATGTGAATTGAAAGAAATACCGACAATTTTATTTTGAGAAGCATAAACTTAAAGGAAACCACCAAATTCATGAAGTACACTCAATTTACAATGTAATTATTCAATCTGCTGCACTGTTAGGACAACACCCATGTAATCCTCAAAGTTCCATTGTATATATCTACTGTATATAGCTACCTGGCTCACATTATTTGTTGAAACCAGATATGCTCTTTGTACTAGCAGGATGCAATCTCCAGGGAAAAACAAATATTCTCAAACCTGAGTCAAAAGCTGGGATGGAGTGGCTTTCCAACCTTGACTGAAAAATAATTGCTCTTCATCAAGTTGCAAAGTGTATTACTGTATCTCATGTTGAATTCTCTCACTGCAGTCTCTCACCCCTTTGAATTCTCTCACTGCAGTCTGTTTTAGCCAATCCGTACTCCTTATGCCACAAGATGTTAGCCTGCCTCAGTCACACTCTTGACTCTGAGTTAGAGGTTGTAGGTTCAAGCCCCACATCAAAGACTTTGAACTCTGTCTAAGACAGTGATGGTCATCAAGAAGCAGCCCCCAAACATTCACACAAGTCTAGGTAATTCCATATTTGCTAGATTATGTTTTCATTTTTTTTCATTTACGGCATAAATCAAAAAATATTCAATCACCAAAATTTACTTTGTTGGTCGACCATAAAGGTTGGCCACCACAGAGCTAGGATCATTTTCAGTGCAGTGCTGTGCTGCACTTTCGGAGGTGCCATCTTTTGGATGAGACTTTAAACCAAAGCCACGTTTGCCTATTCACGTGGATGTTAAAGATCCAATGGCATAATCTGAAAAGAGAATTTCTCCCAGTGTTCAACAAACAAATAAAATTGGCCACTCACTTCATGACTGGGACATTACTGTGCACAGATTGCCTGATACTTTTACAAACAAAAAAACAAACACATACAGTTCCACTTCACAGTAAAACTCCAAGCTCAGTTGGATGACATGATAAGGCACTATATCAAATATAAGGATTACTATTATTATAAGTCTTCCTTTTCAAAATCAACTTTCCATTCATTAAAAGTTCAAACAATTAACTGACAATTTTTTAATGAAAATTAACGTAATACTTGTCGAGCAGCAAACAAACGACAGGAATTATCCTGAATCCATTTTGCTCATGTGACATTCCAGCATACACATCCTCCTCTGTGCACTGACTCCTATTCCATCTCACCTTTCTACACACAAATTTATGAAACAACTTACTATGGTCTACAGTCTATGTCAGATGACCACTGCTTAATGTATTTTTGTTTTACTCTTCAGCTTTTGTAATATTACACAGTGGAACCCTTGTCCTTCACCTAACTTTTTCCAAAAAACAAATATGCCGCAGATTTTTTTTAAAAAATTGTCATTGTTTTGATGCATAAATTAAAGATGCAACACATTTTCAAATCACTGAATGAATGCTCATTTAGACCACTACCGATTTATTATCATAGAAATGCATGTACTTTTCTTATAGATAAGAATCTACACATTATGG